GTGCGCAGCAACGACCACTCAGCTGCAGTTGTCACACCTGAAAAGAATAAAGAGAGGAGCAGATCTATGATAATGCTTTGAATCATTGCATATTAAAAACATACATAAAATGTTTTATTCAAATGTGTGACAGTTCCAAGAAAAATCCGGCTTGTTCTTAAATAAAACTGTGGAACAATCTGCCTTTAGAGATTAGACAGGCCTCTAGTATAGTATATATATATACTTATGTATACATATATTTGTATATGTATATATATATTTGAATACAGGGCTGTTTTGATTTTTATTCATTATGTGTTTTATTTTTATTCTATTTTTTGCTGTTTCGTTTTATCTAATTTTCTTAACTTGCATAAAAAACTCCAGATGCATCTCATATGAATAAATTCTTTAAATAAATACATTTTGCTTTATCTAATTCAACAAATGCATTTCATTCGCATCTTTAAACAGCCTGTGGTGTAAAAAGCTGATAGTGCACACAAGGCCTCTGAATAATTTAGCAAACTTTGTGAAGTCTTTTCGGAGAGGGTTTTACTTTACTGAAAATATATTGAGCTCAAGTTAATTCACCTGTATTGTCCAATGAAAACACTGTATGTTCAATCAGAATGAAGGTGATCCAAGTGAGACTCACCAGATATCTTCCATTAACTCCAATTAAGCGAACCTTGTGCACTGTTTTAGACGAGAGGGTTAAGCTGTTAACTAGATTTTTGTTTACTTTTGTTTACTTAACTTTCAACATGTTGAACTGAAATTGTTTCAACTGCATCGTCCATTGAAAACACTTGGGATCAGAATGAAGGTGATCCAAGTGAATAAGATTAAGACTTATCAGATATCTTCCATTAACTCCATGGACATAAAGTACACAGCACTGTTATAAACCACAGACTTACCAGACTTGTAATATGGAGCAGTTACAGCTTTCTGGACTATGATCTCCAACCCTTTCACTTGTGTGTTGGGTGGAGCCACCAGATAGATGAGCCCGCCCCACAGGTTGGACACATGCATCATGTATGAAGTAACAGGAAACTGCTCATAAACACGTGGTGGTCTCTTCAGCTCATCCTTGTCATGTAGCTCATCAGTTTGACAGCCTATCTGAATCTGTAGATGAAATGGAAAATCTATTGGATATCAGGGTTTTGACAAAACAGATACATTTCAGTTCATTTTTTTTAAATATAGCGTCAAATTACACCAGTCACCTTTGCAAACAGCCCTTTGCAAACAGTCACCTTTGCACAGGTGTCTCTGAACACAGAGACACCTGTGCATTCAGGAATGATTTACAAAGCAGTTTATAGATGTTATGATTG